TTGTCTTCTTTACTTGCAAAACCAGAAAAAGAAAACCTAACTATGAAAGCATACAAAGATTATGAATGCAACCTTGTCATTATAAAAGACTAACATAGGATTAATTCTGGGTAAGTATCTAACTTTTCCTTGCTATTTGTCACAACATAACAAGCAAAAATGAACCGACAGAACATGATCCCAGAGATTTTATTAACTTTGGTACTCCTAGTACTTAACCTAGGAGGATCAAATAGCCAATTTATGCCTTGGCCACCTATTGTCACACGTCCACTTTGTCTCCATCAATTTACACTTGCTAACCATGCATGTCGATTTTTGCCATATACTCCATTGCCTCCACCATCCACTACCCCTTCACCCGAGCCACAACCGTCACCTCCTTCTCTTACGAGCTCTGAGTATGAAGAAACTCCTGTAGAAGAAGAATGTTGCAGGTGGATGAAATCAATCGATAGCGAATGTGTTTGTGCCCTATTGGCTCATTTGCCTCCTTTTCTTTCTAAGCCGATTCACCAATATACTGCTGTGGTTGATGCATCTTGCAGTGTCACTTTCAAGTGTAGTTCGAGGATTAGGTATGAAAATGAGAAGTCACCGCAATCTCCATGATGTCCATCTCACTTCCTTCGTGACTGAAGTACGTTCAGATGATTATGTTTTATTAATAATTAAAATGGCATATGTTGGGAAATTTGATCAGTATATTAATAGTCAATAAGTAAAGATATTTATGAGGGGCTATTGAGCTTAATTATTAACCTCCTAATTAAAGGTTTAAATGTAGTATGACTCATTGTATCACATTTTGTTATATAACATATAGTACTATTTTTCATCTCATGGATGCTTGGAAATTCTAAATGTAACAGATGGGCAGAACATTCTGAAATATTTTGATTTTCTAACAAAACGAATAAGCATTCGAATTATCATTACACTAACCTCTCAATCTCCTTCGATCTCATTCACAATCACTCTCAAATCTTATCAAGATTTTCTCAATTCAATTTG